GGCTGACCACAATTAGTTAATCAACTTTTCACGGACCAACAACATTTTCGTTTAGCTTCAATTTAATCTTTTTGTAGTATCTACGTTTCCAATCGAAACATGATGAACGTGAATATTAAAATTACTGTAATTACAGCACGTAAATAAATGCAAATGAGTCAAAATATTTTCAGGGAATTTATTAAAATAAATATGTTTACATTAAACGCGATAAAAGTTGAATCTTTTTCAAGAAAAATGTAGTTTTTATATAAATATTGAAAATAATTATCCTTCTTCTTCTTTATCAGCTTGTACAATTTACCTTTAGACACGGTCTTCTCTCATAGTAGGGAGGAGGAAAAGGTTCACGCTTGGAAGGTGGATTGGCGATTACAGTATTAAGCGTATGCATATTTTTCCGTCTCGCGCGTCTAGGTTTGAATCCCGGGTCTGGGTTCTTGGGTTTTTCCATTGAGAAATTCTTAATAATAGCCCAGAGTTAAGAAGATGGCGTCGTTTAACCCCGTATTTCGGAATGCACGTAAAGTCATTGATCCTGCGCCTGATCTCTCTCCGGTCGAGTCGGATTACCGTCTCATCGGACTATGATGACTAGTCTACCCTGAAATTAGCGGCTGTGACTGAAATACGGCCTGGAGGTCAATATGGACATTTGATTTTAATATTATCGAAAACGAGTAACTATATATCTATCTACAATTAAATAAATAGGACAAAATTATTTCTATAAATTGAAGTTGAACTCAGTGGAGAGACGTGCTAAGTGGCTTAATGGCGAACTTGATTTGGTAGAAACTAATCTCGTCAGCTTCACTGCATAGGTGCAGAATAGCTAACCACGAGTCAATCTATAGAATGATGTAGTCTACATATATTCCGAATTTAGTTATTAAGACTCATCATTTGATACTAAACACAATATTTTGTTAGTGTTTTATTTCTGCAATAAGCCATCATCTTGAATTTCATGTATCATGTTTATATGTCCTATATAGCCTGAGAAAGAGAACGACACTTCCAATAATACCTCAAAATCCTCTCAGACAATGTATGCCTTTATAACTATATAGGTGCTTTCATATTTTTAGCAAGGTTAACAGAAGTTATCAGTATAAATTATCGGCCAAATCATGAAACGGTGGCTGCGGAGAATGTGCGCAGGAGTTATATGTTTTAATTGCTCACTTCTCTTTTCACCATCAGACGACCAAAAGGTTTGCTTCGTTTTTCGTAATGCGTATAGCAAAGAAATGGAATAGTCTTCCTGTCTTTTCATTGCAATTCAATTCGTCTTCCATCCAAGACGTCTTCAAGTCAAGGTGAAAGTGAAAAGGTCTTCTATACGCTAAGACAGTGCAATTTGTACTAATTTGTTGAGACCCATTATTACTAGGAACGAGGCATTCCATCTAAGTCCTCAGGGGTGACAACACATTTGCGTTTTGATTCTTAATCGTGGATGAATATAGATGTCTATGGGCCACAGCATTCAGTTACCATCACGTTTACTGTGTGCTCGTTTGTTACTCTTATTATATAAAAAATAAATAAATTTGAGGGCTCCATCACCACTTGCCACCAGGTGCTATTGCGGCCAAGCAATGGCTTATAAAAAATAAAAATAAAATATAGTACCATAATTTTCACACTATTGCTACAGTCCATCACAAGTTCACTGATGAACACAGACCTCAAAAAACGACGGGTTGCACTCCGGGAGTGCCGGCAGAAGTGAAAACTTGAATATTAACGTTGTGCATTTTTGTTATTTTGGAATGGTTAGGGAATAATTTTGCACGAATTGCTTTAATTATCAGTATAAAAGTACTATTATTTATGTGGTAGAATACAATATTTATTCATTGCGTTACCGTACACAAACATGACAATTTATATTACATTTGCGCAAGCGCCCTGCGTCGCCTAAACGAAACAGCATACATTTTCGTCGCGCCGTAGAAAGAGAGGGGGATACTTCCTCTCCTACCGGCTGTCTACTTTCCATCCGTCTTACGAATTTTCGATCACGTGTCCTGACGCGAGTTTAACATTTTTTATTCATTACTAAAAGTGTATAACGCCGCTAAAGAAATTTTCGTCTTTCGAATTTTCGATCAGGTCACATGTCCTGACGCGAGTTTAACATTTTTTACCCACTACAAAAAAAAGTGTACGACGCCGCTAAAGAAGTTTTCACTTCAACAATGGATTGATACAAGATATGGTCTTGAACTACCTGCATCCATCGACTACATGTGTGTTTAATCAAGTCTTCACCCACTTAGTGGGAGAGTCGTCCAACACTGTTCTTACCTTTATCGGTTTTTCAAACTATATGGCCAGCCACGTTAAAAAATTGGCGTTTAAAGACAAGGTTGCAACATTTCCCTTTAGAACCCACCGTGCAGGGCGGGGAAAGAAAATACACTACCCCATATCGTCACGAGGATGTCGTAAGAGGCGACAGAGGGAAACTGACACAGGAGATGGGCAGCAG